CCAAAAAAAAAATTGACAAATTATATAAAGTAATTCACAAAACTACAAACCTATAGTGACCAGAGAAATGTAAATTAAAATGAAATATTTTTGTTTAAATTGTTATACATAACAATTATTTATAAAGGTCAAAAGGTATTAAAAATGTCAATTTAAAAAAATTCAAATCTTTTATTTATTTGTTTGGTACAGAGTCTTGCTATGCAGCTCAGACTCATAGTGATCCTCCTGCCTCAGCCTCCCCAGTGCTGGGATTCCAGGCGTGCCTCACCACGCCCCGTGTCAGGGCGGCACAGTGTGCTCAGGGTTCCGGGGCTGGCGTGGCATCAAACCTGGGTACTTATGCTTGCCAGGCAGGCGCTTAAACTGCCAGCCTATCTCCCCAGCCCAAAATGTCAATTTTAAAGGAAGTATAAATTATAAGGCTATTGTGAAAGGAAAAGTGACATTGTCAGATTTAAAATATATATACTCGGTCCATTTCTCAAATAGCTCAAAAGTATACTTACATGTGCTGAAATATATGTAAAGTTTCTGTAACACAGTAATTTTTAAAAATGGAAAACAGCCAGGCACGGTGACACACACCTGTAATCCCCCGCGCTTGGCAAGCTGAGGCAGCAGAATTGCTGCAAGTTTGAGATTAGTCAGGGTCACACAGACTCTGTCCACCCAAGAAATAAATTAAATGAATCCATAAAAACAGCCCAGGTTTCCAAATTTAAGGGAATAATTAAAATGCAGTTCATCGATACTTTGGATATTACAGGAATTGAAAAGTGACTTTTTAAAATGTGTGCTCTCAAGGGAAGGAAACAAGTCGCAGCGGGCGCTGCCTGTGCACCCACGTGTGCAAAGGGCTTGTGCGCACGCAGGAACGTGTGTGCCTGCGCGTGGGCGTGGCGGTGGGAGCTAAGGAGGGAGCATAACGTGGACTTTCATTCTTGCGTCCGCCGTGTTTAAATCTTGTTTATGCGGCGGAGCACGCAGCCGTGTGGCCGAGCGCCGGCCTGGCGTGCGTGAGTCCAGGATGTGGCGCCAGCGCCACGCAGAAAGAGGTAAATAAGTGCTGTTTCTAGTATGTGTATCAGCGTACAATTTTAAATGCTAATTTCGAAGCTGCTAGTGATTTTTAATTCAAAATGAATAACCAAATATTAGCAAATAATATAAAGTACTCATGGGGGCTGGGGAGATAGCTTAGTAGAATGAGCACTTGCCTGGCAAGCGCAAGGGCCCGAGTTCAATCCCCGGTTCCGCCAAAAAATAAATAAAAACTCATGAACCTCATTTCCACGTATGCAGCTATTATATTCCCGCATTTGTTTAAAGATCTTTTCGTCGTCGTTCTGTATTTTGAGACAGGGTCCCACTGTATGATTCAGGCTCACTTCAGACTCACTGAGTGGCCCCGGCTGCCTTGACCTTGCTGTCATCTTCCTGCCTCAGCCTCCCGAGCACCGGGATTGTAGGCATGCGCCACCACATTTGGCTTTAAAAGATTTTTCTAAAAAAGTCGTAGTTTTTTTCTTTCTAGTGGTGCTGGGGTCAAACGCAGGAGCACACACGCCAGGCGAGCGCCACTGAGCTGCACCCTCAGCCCTCGTCATGAACTCTGCAGAAGCCCTCCTTTCCTCCTCTGTAGGTTAGTCACTGCATGTAATTTGTGCGTTTCATTCACATACTTGTTTTTACTTTTTATCAAATGTTTATATTTTCAAAATCTGGTATTTTCTGCTTTTAACATAAATGAGTACTGTTATGCCCCTATGTATTATTCTACAGTTCATTATTAAATTTTGGAGACTTATCTATATTGCTGTATGAATAGCTATTCCATTGTAAGAATAAATTGATTTGTTTATCCACGTCTGTATTGTTGGATTATAGTGTTAACTTTTTTCCCATATTATAAGCCAATTTGAGAAGAGTCCCTAACAGGGCTGGGCGTGCTGGCACGCTTCTCTAATCCCAGCGCCCTGGGAGGCTGAGGGAGAATTTCAAGTTTGAGCCCAGCAACTTCCTGACTTAGCGTAGTCAGGGTTTAGAAGGGCAACCGTTTAATGGAGGACACACAGTGTATAGGATTATTCTATAATGTTCACCCAAAAAGAGTCAAATGCAAAAGAATGTGGGAGATCTGTCCACACACTAGAGACCCAAGAATCCAGCTGACTGCCCGATTCCCACAGCAGTGTCCTGCGCGAGTCCAGCTGGAGGGCGGGAGCCCACGGCAACGTCTCACGCAAGCCTGCTTCGTGGGTCTGCTGGGAAGGTCCGTGGTGGAGACTAGACAGCAGCGGGAGGAAGGGTCTGTGCCGGCAGGCCGGGGATCTGCACGAGAGCCAGGAAGGACCAGGTAAGGAGCAGCGCTCCCCCAGAGAGACCTGACAGGCATCCTCAGCAACAGCGAGGGCCTGAGCTCCTGTGACATTGGGCACAGCCGAGTCCCTGTCAGGAAAACCAGCGTGCCAAGCTTCTCCAGGAGAGCCAGCAGCGCCGCCGCTTCCCCTCTGGCTGCACTTTTCGCTGTCGGCAGGCAGCAAGCCTCAGGCGGGCTTCCCCACCCAGCGCCATGCTGATTCAGTTCAGCTGGGTGGTAGAAGCTGCCCATTAATCCTCTGCACAGGGAGATCCTATCTCCAAACGAAAAAGAAAGGACGGGGCGGGGTATAGCTCCACGCGAAGGCCTTGTGTTCGGTCCCCAGTGCTGCAGCGGAGCACAACCAAACAGAACCCGGTCTGAGGATTCTTACCCTAGAAATGCATGTGTATAGGTATCTGGAACTCTTGGGTCACGGGATGTGTACGTGTTCTCTTTAACTTAGGCTGGGAATGTAACTTAGTAGTAGATCCCTTGCCTACTATGTACAGGCCCTGGTTCAATTCCAAGCACTAAAAAAACCAAAAAAAAGTAGCCTGGTGTATGCTGTACTCAACAGTGTGAGAGTACGCCTGGTTATACCCTCACTGATACGAACATACACGATTTTTCCTGGTTTTGTCAAACCGATGGCTGTGGAAAGGTTCGTTGTTTTACTTTGCGTTACCTGACAGCTAATGAAGTGATCACCTTGCCGAGGTGGGACCACATGGCTTTGTGTTGTAAATGTATGTTCGTATACTTTGCCTACTTTTCTTTATTGGTTGGCTGACATTTTCTGACCAATCCTTTATATATTCTAGATATTAATTTTTTGTTAGCTGTGAAGCTAGTATCTTCTGATGTGTGATTTGACTTTTTGACTTTATGATAAACTTGAGTGGGCTAAGAGGTGCCCAGTAGCTGGTGGCACGTTGTTTCGGGGTGTCTTTCTGAGAGCGTTTCTGGAAGAGATGAACACCTTAGCTGGACTTGAGAGTGGAGTGTCACCCTCGCCAGGGTGGGAGGTCGTCCTGCCTGCTGATAGCCGACTTGAGCAGGAGGAAGGAAAGTCACCCTCGCTGGAGCAAAGCCCTCTGCGCCCAGCACTGCTGCCGGTGGCCCTCAGGCTCAGACTGCAGCGGGACTCAGCCTTGCTGTCAGGCCCTAGGACCTAGGCTGGGTCCCGCGTCCAGCTCTCTTCTTGCCCAGCTTGCAAGGGCAGAGCAGGGGACTTCGTGGGCTGTGCACCTGCATGAGCAGGTTCTCTTTGGGGGTTGGAGGGTGCGCATGTCCCTCGAGCTGTCACACGCGCCTATGGTACTGCACACACGTGCACACACACACGCACACACAGCCAAGTGGAAGGGAGTCCTGCTGATCAGGATTAATAGTGAGGGCAATAGAGTACTAGTGTAGCGATTCTATAAAAATAAAATAACACGTGTTCATAAAGACAAAGTAAGAAAAAGATAAGGAGAGGAGGGAGACTCGGCTCGACCCCACCTCTTGGCTCTCAGCTTCCCTCTAGTGCTAAAATTTCTCAAAATAAAATGCTAGAGGGAATGGAAATTGAATTTCTTCTAGCTTTTATTGTGAGGCGCGTTCTATATTAGCTTAGTCGCATGGTGCGAGACTCAAGAGTTCCAGACAGCAATTTATTTTAGAAGAAAACAAATTTATTACATGTTTTTCTGCCGATCCACTTTTTTTTTCTTTTGGTGGAACCGGGGATTGAACTCAGATCCTTGCATTTGCCAGCCAAGCGCTTATCCTGCTGAACCATCTCCCCGGCCCCTGGCAACCCACTATTAATACCTCTAGCCTTCCAAGTGTAGGAGGTTGTGTCTGTGAAGTCCAATTCAGGGTTTCAGTTCAGCGTTCGCCCCGCCGCGGTCTGTTTCCTGACTTCAGCTGAGGGGGTCTCTCCATCTAGCCGCCACCACGGAGCGCGCGTGAGTCCTCGAGGTCGGCGTGCGGATGGGGAGGAGGCCAGAGCGAGGCTCCTCTGTGGGGAGGACGCGCAAGCGGAGGAGGGCGGGAGGGCAGGCGGCGGAGCGGCTCGAGGGCTAACTGGGTCAGGCAGAGCTTTCAGCTGTAAAGCCTTTTATGAGAGTGTGGTTTGTAACAATGAATATGAAATGCGATGCATTTTTAAGAAAAGAAACGAACTAGGGATGTACTGTAACTCAGCAGGCGGGCACTTATCTGCGTGGGTGTGCCTGTGTTCCTAGAGTCAGTCCCCTGTGTCACCAAAGGAGGAGAAAAAAGAACGAGGAGGGGGAAGAAAAGAGAAGGCGTAAAACAACTCACACCTAATACTATTTTTAAAAATACAAATTGGAAGCTCGGATGGTGTGCACCTGTCATCCCAGCTCTCAGGAGGCTGAGGCAGGAGGATCAGCATGAATTCAAGACCAGCCTGGGCTACACAGTGAGACCTTATCTCATAAAACAAAACTATCTAGCTATCTGTGTATCATCTACCTACCTACCTACCTAACTTCCTGCCTACCTAAGTTGGAATGAGAAAACAAGACTCTGCCCACCGGTGAGGGATGCTTCGGGATACCGTATGCTCTCTACGACAGCAGCATCCCATGCCTGTCATTTCCTCTCTCATCCTTTGCTCTGGCAGCACAGAGTGAAGAGGCTGCTGTTTTCGATGGGATTCTCAGATGCAGGCCCCGTGGTAGAGATTTGCCTGAAGAGTCTGCGTACGGGCAGCCATGGGACGTGAGGGGAGCGCAGTGGACAGAGGGAGGAGCTGACCAGCAGCAGATCTGGGCTGAGGCAGCTGCTGGCCAGACCTGCGTGTGAGGCTCCAGCCGCCGCCACTCCCAGGGTCTAGACCCAGGTGCCTTCTGACCGGGAGCGGGTGCCGTATGGAATCCACTGCGCGGAGCAGGCCTTTTTCATCCTTAATCACTTTGTTTGGGCAAGAGATGCAAAACCCAAGAGCCGGCAGCTTGCTCCCTGTTCAACCCAAAGGAGGAGGGGAAGCCTACTAGAAAAACCTTAGTTGTGATAAGCTGAGATTCAAGATGAGTAAACGCCTGGCTGAGTTCATTTAATTCATTCCTTCCTCCTTCCCTTCCCTCCCTTCCTTGTAACGGAGATCGGATCCATAGCCGTGCACCCGCTGGGCAAGTGCAGCCCTTTACATTTCACTGGAGGGCAGGACCTGGGCAGGACCTTGCCAGGCCGCCCGAGCTGGCCTCGGGTGTGCAGCCTCCCTGCCTCAGCCTCCTGAATGGCTGGAGTTACGCAGCGCCACCGCACCTGATGCGGTCCGTTATCTTCCCTGGTTAGTGGAGGGAAGCGACCTGAGCGCCAACAAGGGCTGAATCCTACTCACAGCCTGGCCACCGGCGGTGGGCTCTTTGAACAAAGCGTTGATCACCTCTGGGCTTCTGGTTCTGGTTCTGTTCCTGTTCTGTGCCGTATCTGGACTAGGTGATGCATAGTTAAGAGTTATTTTAATTCTTTTTGTTTGTTTGTTTTTCAGAGCCGGGGATTGAACTCAGACCCTTGCACTTGCCAGGCAAGCACTTATTCAACTGAGCTATCTCCCTGGCCCTGAGTTATTTTAAACTCTTTTTTTTTTTAATATTTATTTATTTTTATTTATTACATTTATTTATTGTGTGTGTG